CAACCTTGAGCCAGTCAGGATCAAACTCCTGGCAGTGAGCCTGCAATACTGCATTCTTACCACTGCTCCATCACAGCTCTTCTATGATATGTGAGTCCAGTCAATGGCTGGACTCATATTTCAAGTTTAACCACGAATACCAGTTAAGGCAAATACATTTCATCACAATCTTCTCCTCTTCCTCCTAGCCATTCATGTAGCAGCATTTTTCAGTGCAGTGAATCAGAGGACTTAAGCATGAGCAAATGTCAACAAACATGGTTACATTAACTGGAGATGGGGAAAATACATAAGACTTGTGTTTGGATGATATGCTTGATATATCATGGCTGGATGGTAAACATACTAAGCCGGAGAAGGCCAACGGGTGCATCTGACCTAGCCTATGGCTTACAGCTAAGCATGGCATGTGAATGTTCATATGATATACTCTAGCTTAGTCTCCCATGCAGACATCTTAGTCTCCCATGCAGACTCAAGTGCCATTCTGAGTGATAGTAACACTGTAGACTGCCTGCAATGGGAAAGGCATGGACTTCTGCAAAAAAAATTATTAAAGAATAACAACACACACAAGGGGACTGCAGAGGCTTAAGTTATACTGTATCATCTTCCCTATAAAGATTTATTTAATTAACCATTTTTATAACTTGCCCCAATCCTAAAAAGTGGGGGGTTTGCAAATATAGAAATCCAACCATTAAAGAACAATATAAAAATTCAAGAAATTCATTAGACACAGGTGCTGTTATTCATTCATTCATTGGGACTGAAAGCCCATTGAAATATATTTGCTTTGGGGGCTAATACATACCTCCTGTTGGAGAGGGTAGCAAATTGTGGGGTTTGTTGCAATGAAGTGTTTCTGCCTCATCCACACCTTTCTCCTCTATTACTACTTTACATTAAAAGGGCAGATTTTCCTCGACAGCTGAAACTTCGGGATTTCCAACATTTCAAGGGCGTTCCTGATCAATTCAGCAGAAGAACTAATTTTACACAATTTTAATGCATGTAAATGGTGTGGATGTCCTCTCTTTATGGGGCTGTGAAGAATTCTGCTTCTGGTGAGGGAGCTGCTGTGTGTTGTCAAAGATAAATATGTACTGTATATGTAATTGCCATCTGAATGATAAAGTCGCTCGGATCCGGGAGGGGTTGGACTCCGACTGGGTGCCCCAGGGGGAGGTGGAGAGAGCAGGTCTTGAGACGATTATATGGGAGGAGTTTGACTCTGTGGCTCCCGAGGATGTGGACAGGATCCTGGGGAGGCTGAATGCGACCACATGTTTATTGGATCCGTGCCCCTCCTGGCTGGTACT